TTTCAAAAATAACCATCATAACAAATGGCTCTTTTCTATGGTGCATCTTCACTTAAAAATTTTAAAAAATAACTATGATGAATAGTTAATCCAGAGCATTATAATTTAAAGAAGCTTTAAGTAACTTTCCCGCCTATAATATTAATATATACTAAATGTTATTTGACTTTTGGTCAAAAAAAATGATCTAGATATTGGGTTAAGGGTGAAAAAAAGCAACCCTAACTTTAAGTCGTCTTTAAAAAGAAAGATCCATATTTTGAGTCGGATTGAATAAAACGACCCGATGTTTGAGTCTGAGTCAGAAAAACGACCCAAACTTTGAGTTGGAGTCGAAAAATACGACCCAAACTTCAAGTTTGAGTCGAAAAATACGACCCAAACTTCAAGTTTTAGTCGAAAAATACGACCCAAACTTCAAGTTTGAGTCGAAAAATATGACCCAAACTTCAAGTTTAAGTCGAAAAATACGACCCAAATTTCAAATTTGAGTCGAAAAATACCACCCAAATTTTGAGTCGGAGTCGTAAAAAACGACCCATATTTTGGGTCGAAGTCGTTTATTTCGGCTAGAACTCGGGTCGAAGTCGAAAAAAACGACCCAAACATTGAGTCGGAGTCGAATAAAACGACCCGAGCTTTGGGTCGGGGTCGCGACTCGCGCCGTTTTAACAACACTAGGCTTATGTAATATTATTTTGGAGAAAATAAATCGGCTAAAATTGGGAAGTTTAACAACACTATCCCCATTGTTTTAATAAAATATGATTCCGAAATTTAAGCCAAAATAAAGTTTTTAAAGATAAACATGATTTATTTATCTACCTTTTAATACTAAGATTTTCTAAAATAAATCATAAAATTTCATAATAGCAGTGGCTTAGCTAATATTTTTCCAAGGGCTATAAAAAATATTTTGGTACTTCTACAACAAACTCCCATTTTCCCACTTATCGGTGGGAGTCGCTCCTTTGAAATATGATTAGATGCAAATAATTTCCCATGTTTATTTTTACTTTTAAAAATGCAATATATCAACCTCGTTAAAGTTGGCTGAACAATTGGAAACACTCTAACATCGATGCCAATGTTTCGTGCTTATGAGTGATTTCACCAGTATAATAGTCATTGTAAAGAAAACAATTATTAATAACAAAATTTTGGCCAACTTAAGATTATGACTAAAAATATTTATTTGAAAAATTTATTAATATTAATGTTTAGGCCGTGTTCTGGTTCGTTTTATTTTTGAAACTTATTTATGTTTCAGCCCGGGATAAACAGATTTTAAACGAAAACACCATATTTTGGTTCATTTTACGTTTGTGAATTAAATAAATATTTTTTGTTATTTACATATTTTTTTTTGTATCTCTTTAGGATGTTTATAGGAAACGTTATAGAAACAGATAAGTATTTAAAAATAAACGAACCAGGACACGACCTTAGTGCTTATTTGTATATTATTTTAATCCGTTTGGCAGACAGTATAAAGAAGAAAAGTTATTAGCAAATAAAAAAAAATTGTCAGAATTGGCACCATGATAGAATGGAATATATAAAGGAACTAAATATTTTAGTACTTATTAATTCCTTAATCAATTTTGAGAACCACAAAAGAGAGACCAAGATATAAGCAAAATGGAATCAATCACGTCACACATAAGCCTGAAGTGAGCCAAGCTTTTGGAAAAACTAATTCTGATACTTATACCAAATCATTAAGTAATGCATTATTGTTCATTTTATTGATTTATTATTTTTGGGGGGAAAATATTTATGTAAAAATAAAAATCAGTTGTCAAAATGCCATATAGAATGCAGTAAATATCTGATTTACATTAATATTTAATGTCTTACTTATTAATTCCTCAATTAATTTTGCCAACCAGTAACCAAATTACAAGCCAAATACGATAATCACGCCTTGAACTAGAAATCAAGCTGCTGGGAGCATTAAAAATGATATCAATAATTGCTCAATGAATTGTTTAAAAAAAAAATTTGGAGGCTACTATTTTTATTTTATATATCGTCAAAAATATGATATATAAATATATAAAATCAAATTTTTTTATTACGTATATGAAAAATTCTTTATTTATAAAATTTTAAAAAATATGATCACAAAATATCAGAGTTGCTAAAAGATATTTTTTAAATGGAGCTAGATACAGATACATGGCTTAAAATGTATCCAGATATCGATAGAATTTTATAAATGGATCTAGATACAGATACAATTTTTTCATACCGATATTCAGGATTCGCCGTTGTTCTCGAACAGAATCTCTGTTTATGAGAGCACAAGTAAACAACATTTTAATATTTTGTTCATTCAATTCGAACACCTTATAAAAGAATAATAGAAAAATGTCAATAGCCCTATTTGTTAATTTAAAGTTTACCATATAAAAAAAAAGGAATATCTATAAATTAAAGTATTCTAAATAAATTTATTTTCTTAAAATATTTTTTGTGGGTATTTTAATAATTAATGGGCGTCATGGCTAAGCACTAAAAATATCCTTCATAATCTTGAAGAACTGATATCTATAAATTTAAATGGGGAAAAAAATATTTAATGCATATTACATTTTTTAATATATATAAGTTTTAATATATATTTTTTATTTACGTGATGTGATATATAGCGCTTTTGCCCTCTAGCGTTAAAGATTCAACAGAGCTACGCTATTCCTCATTTCCATCTAATTGGAACAATTTAATTTGGGTATAAAAGTAAAAATATGAGGAGCCCTCCACACGTTTGTGGGCAAGCCGCACGTACTTGTAGGCACAACATTTCGAAAAATGTTGCTTAAACCTCTATAGGCTGAGCCTATACCCAAAAACTACAATATAATTTAATTACTTTAAGGGTGGGCGGTGGATCATTTTTAATTTAAAAATTTTACAATTTTAATACAAATTTTAGTAAGGAAAATTAAAGAATACTTCGAGAAAAAGTGAATAATTGTTGATAGGGAACCTTTAGATAATGATATGTGAGCAAAGAACTTCAAAATACGTTTTCATTTGAGGTAAATTTTTTTGATGCGGAAAAGTTTTTTGATGGATCTTTTATTGTTATTAAGTTTTATGAATTGTTTCATATTGATATTTAAATCCATTAGATCTTTTATGGTTTTATAGTACCATAAGGATTTATATTTTGTATATTGTTTTCCTTTATGTGTGTACAACCATGCTATGGCGTCATGAGCTAAATTGTAGTCGGAGTTCCTTATTATGTGGGCTAGGAACTGGATACGGCGTTTTTTTTACAGTGATATTAATTGGAGTGTGATTAGATTTTTTCCAGAGATTTTGGTTTAATACGACTCTTGGATAGAAAATGCCATTTATTGTACGTAGACAATTATTTATAAATGTTTGTAATCGTCTCATTTCTGTCTTATTTGCTTCCCAAATTTCCCCTCCATATAATAGAACCGGGACAATTGTCGAGTTGAATAACTTCAGTCTGGTAAAAACAGAAATCTCTTTTGTTTTCCAAATTTTCATATACTTGTAGAAGGTACCCATCGCCTTTTGTATTCTTATCGTCATTTCCTCTTTACCACTACCCTTGATGTCTAGTGTTATACCCAAATATCTAATTTTATCTACAACCTTAATTTTTTTTCCTCCAAAAGTAAGATTGTTCATTGGTGGAGCATTGGGGAGGGGAGAATAACAGTTTTTTTGAAATTTATTTCAAGTCCAACTCTTTGACTTAGGGTCTCTAGTAAGTATAATAAATTTTTGGTTTCATCTATGCTCTTGGAGATTACAACAATGTCGTCAGCATATGATATTATTCTGTTAACAAAGGATATGGACTTATCATATCTTAGATCAACTAGATCAGCTGCCCCTAGTGCTTCTCTTATAACTTTATTAATTATCATGGTAAATAGGAGTGGTGATAGAGTACACCCCTGTTTTACTCCTTTTTTAATTTTAAAGCAAGGAGATATTTTATCGTTTATTCTAAAACACGCCACTAATTTTGAGTAGTGTTTTTTAAGATGTGGATTATTTGGGGTTCTATTCCGCATTCAGCCAGCGTATCCCATAGAGCTCCGTGATTAACATTATCAAAAGCTCTGCTAAAATCAATGAAAGTGTAATAGAAGGATATTTTGTATTTATAACATTTCTGCATTATTATTTTCATGGCTAATATTGGTTCTAATATATTTTTGTTCGGCCTATAAGTACAAATGTATTTGGGGAAAAGATGGGGCGTCGATTGCACAATTTTGTTTTTTATAACGTCATAAATATTTTAGATACACATGATGTCAGAGCGACGGCGCGGTGATCTGTGAATTTCCGTGGGTTTTCAATTTTGGGGAAATTGCATAAAAACGATTTATTCCATTCCTCCGGAGTTTTCCCACATTCCCATATTTTGTTAAAAAGGGTCAAAAGGAAGGAAGAGACAGTCCTAGGTGCAATTTTCAGATACTCAGCTGTTATGTCATCAAGCCCCGGAGCTTTGTTTCTACGTAATTTTTTTATTATATTAGCGATCTCATCTATAGAAAAGCCAGATGGGGGTGAAACAGGAATTATATTTAAGCTAGCTGGTGGGTTGCTTTCCTTGAATCGAAGACTGTCATGTAATAGTCAAGTCATACAGCTATTTGTTCATCTTGATCTATGATTACTTTCCCATTCCTTAAGGCAATGGAGGGGAGTTTCTTAAAGCTACCAGGTTTACAAAAATATTTTAATTTTTTATATGCGTCATATATCCTGTTTTTCTTCATATCTCTGTCAATGTCAAAGGCTTTCCTCGCGATATATATTCGTCTATCTCTGCGTAGTAGTTTCTGTATATCCTTTCATAGGTCGCTATTCGAGCCGTTCTCACTTCTTAACAAATTTATTTTCTCTAGAGTGTCATTAGCCATCCATTCTTTCCTAGAGAAAAAAGTCTAGTTTGGAAAAACATTGTATGATTCTGTAAGATCGCTTTTAAAAAGTTTCTAACATGCTTCTACCTTTTCCTGTCTAGTTATATTTACAAAGTTAGCTACTTTCCTAATTAGCATTAGATCGAATAGTCTCGCATCTTCTAGTATTTGTACTTTATTGGGTTTGCGTGTTATATTTGTGCGCGAAAGATAAGTATTAGGACCGATTGAAGTTTGTCTACTTCCACTGTGATAACTCCATAGGTTTTTAACTGTAATGTTTGCTCTGAACATTCTATGATCTGATATGTTAATATTTGTTAGTGCTTTTACATCATCAAACCACCGGTGAACGTTCGAAATGAAAAAGTCAATTTGAGATTTTTGCCGAGCCCTTACAAAGGTGTAAGTGTTACTTTCACGGTGGCTAAAGAAAGTATTCTCGATCTTGAAATTATTGTTTCTACAGAAATCTAGGAGTTTCTTACTATGTTCACAATTTCGTTGTAGTATTGTAGCATGCCCAATAACATTACTATTTACATATTCAGCTTCTTTGCCGATTTTCATCTTAAAATCTCCTAAGATAATTATATTATATCTTCCCAGTAGGGAGTGTATCGTATTTATCCTAGAATCAACGAAACTTGATCTCTCATTCCTATTGGGAGGGACATCAAAATTTATGATTATTGTGGGCCTGAAATTTGTGTTCAAATATAACAGTCCGCATCTTTCTGATACCGGTACGAATTTGATTGTGTGTTTCTGCATACGTTTATTTATAAGCAACGCTATCCCGGACCAACTATTCAAGGTGGTGCCGGAACAGGAAATTTTATAGTCATTAAAAATAGCCGTGTTTACCCCTGGAAAGTGGATTTCCTGAATGCCAATAATGTCAATTTTCTCAGCTGCTAACATCCTTAGGAGAACCGCCAGTTTGTTTTTCATTCCATTTATGTTGAGAGACGCTATTTGTAGCTTGCCCGTGAACTTATACTAGAGAACCAATGAATGAAACCAATAAAGAGAATAAAAACGTTGGAAGTAAGTATAAGTAAAATCCAAAATGTAATTTGGGAGAAAAGTATTAGTGTGGAGATAAGTATATAACGGAGAAGGCTACCTCATTATGTACTACTTAGGAGCCGCATAAGATGTAATATAACATTAATTTAAAGAGACCTTCTAAGATAATTTACAATGGTACTAACCCATACAACACTAGACAACACAATTTTATGGATATTATAATTATTATGAGGTAGTCGCCAGTTTCAAAAGAGCCCAGTAAAGGAGGGTAAAAGAACCCCTTTAAAGTTAAAAAACTAAAAATGAACTTAAGTTTGAATACAAATTCTGAGACTACAGGATTAAAGGGAAAACAAATCCAAAACGAAAAAGTTAACGTTAGGAATTTTACTTCCATTTATCCTAATCATGTTACCATTTTTTATTGCCAAATACAAATGAAGGTGTATAACATTTCATAATAGTTGGAGTTTTTATAATAGAGAAACTTCCCAGAAAGATAAAATTAAGAGAATAAATTTAGTACCGACTAATAATATCAAAAGATATCCAAAAAATTTATTAAACTAATGTTAGAAAAATTATATATATGATAGGTTTACCTCCATAACGGTGTACTGGCTTGAATCCAAAAAGTGTATTGACGCAATTAGGAAATTAAAAGAACAGAAACAAATAATAATATAATAAACAAAAGAAGGTAATGAACATTTAAAAATTGCCTATTTGAATTTAAATTTACAGGAAAAATTTGTTTTTAAGGTTTATAATTCACTCACAAAACTATTCATTACATTTTTCATGAGTAAGAAAACATAATAACAAAGGGGAGGACACTAGGTGGGATTTCTCGAACGCAGAAAACTTCAAAATAAAGCAAAAATATTATAAAACTGCCAATTCATAATACATTTAAAACTAATATTATAAGTTTTTTCCAAAAAAAAAACTAAGACAAAGGAACCAAAATGAAGAAAAATGATTATAAAAATATTTCATGAACAAAAAAATATTTTACATGAACAGAGAAATATAAATCAAATCAAAATCAAAACGAAATCAAAACGGCGCCTGAAAGAGAAAAGAGAAAAGAGAAAATAATTACAATTAACATAGGCGCCGAAAATTTAAAGAATTTATTTAATTTGTAAATTTATTTTTTATACATCAACTTTGGCTAGAAAGGTATAATATTAATTAACGTAAGGAAAAAACAGACATCAGGAAAGAAACTAATAACTCTATATAATGTAATATACAACACGGAGAAACTAAAATTAGAATGACTGAATATATTATTAGCTAGTTACATATAGTGTAATCGCTCCACGAGAGAAATAAACCTAAACTACTACCGATTCAAAGTAATAAATGAGAAAGTACTGTATATTAACTGTAGCTTGTTCGTATTAAATACCTGAGAAAGGATTAAAGTCATGCTTCCATAGAAGTATTAGAGCATTAAAACCACTAAATAAAATAGTAATATCTTATCTGGGAGAAATTGGGATAAATAAGGATAAAAATTAACACTTATTCGCTATTTAAGGTTCAAGTTTATCTACCTAATTTAGGGGAACCTAAAGATTTTAAGATTGACCTTATATATAACCTAAATAATCTAAAATATTTATATCTGAAGATATGTATATGGTGTTAAAACCGATCGATGCATATAATAATATAATATATAAAATATAAGGAAAATTGATTATACTAATACAGACCTGATAATGTAAATCCAATAATAACATTGAAGGTAATAATACGAATGAATTATTTATATTTTAAGTTAAAAGTTGTTAAACTAGAATACCCAGATATAGCTTATGTAAAATTTAAGAACCTTGCAACTAGCTAAAATACTAAAATTTAACAAATAAATTATTTTAAAAAATTTTTTAAATCTTTCATTTCTTCTTTTTCCTTGGGGTGTATTTTTATTAGAAAAGATTTCATTTTCACTCGATAATTCATTTTCCATATTATGATACATGGATCTGGGATCTATTCTGATATACAAGGTTCGTTAATACGTTAATATTTATGAATATTAAATTTGAAAAATTATTTACTCTTAAACTCGCTCGATTATTTACTATGACCAAAATCATATGATGAAAGCCCCTTTCATACTCGGCAGTACTGCAGGATAATGTATCTACAGAGTTAAAGAATTTTGTAAATTTGTTATTCAAAATACCTTCATTGATATATGGTCGAAGCTCAGCAATCGTTTTATATTCATTTACTTTGAATCTTTGGTAGATTCCTTATTTACTTTTAGCCAAATCACGCATCTAGGTTCTTAGGCTAATCTTCTTTTTGAATAAATATATCAGAAAGAATTTCCAAGATAAAAGAAAATAATTTGTTGCAAATTTATTCAAATCATTTAACCCACTTTTCAAAGCTATCCATTAAACGGGACTGCGTGTATTTTCTAGAGTAATTATAAATTGGTCTACTTTTTATTTAGAATTTTTGATTTTTTTTAATGGTATATGTTTAAATAAAAGTTCAATTTCTGAATCGAGCGATATCTGTAAATATTTACAGCGTCTAAATAAAAAGTGAGCAGGATTTGCTTTAATTTTTTTGAAGGGCGGTAGGGAGTATGCATCAAGGGGGTGGGATGCATACAATAAATTTGTACATTAAAAGTTAAAAATAACTGATAAAAGAATAAATATATTGACAAATAGTTATTTCTCCCTTATTCATAGATAACATTTTTGTACAGGTGGAAGTTGTATATGCTCGTTAATCTTTAGAATATGGTTACCAACAACTAGTTGATTATCGCTAACTAATGTTTATTTGTTATTGAGTCTGGATAATCACGAGGCCGGACAGAGTTTAATTAGAATTATTTACAAAATTTATAATGATGGCTTATTATAAGATTTTTTCAGCACGTAGCCAGCGGGAGGCTCGTAGCAAATTTTTGAAAAAATATGAGTTCAAGCGCGTACGGGGGTGGGAGAGAGGAAGAAATCCCCCCCCCCCCCCATCCAAGTAGCATTTTAAAAAATATAAAGGGACTTCATGAATTGTGAATTGCAAAGTATTTTATTTCAAATAGGTTATATTCTAATCTAAATATTAGCAAAAAGTTATAATTAATTTTATCTGAAGCGGATACATTATTGGATTCAATATGACTGTAGATTTTTTCCATTAGAATGTATTAATAAATTATTTAGTACCCATCTATCCAATATTTTTCAAAAAAATAATTTGGCTGAAGTTATGAGCACGCGAATACTATTATATTACAACTTAGAAGACCTAGATAATATAATATCGACCAGGAATTTCTAGAAATTTATGTAATTGTTGAAGTGAAAGCGTAATTATATGATTTTGAAATTCACAAGCTTCGACAGACCAATCTAATATAAAGTGGACTCAATTTAGGATCACTCTAAAATAACTTTTTTATTCCACTTTTGGATTCAATTTTGACTTAAATCAATGAACGATTTGTGATATCAAATGACTATCCAACTTACAAATATTTATATTATAACTCCTTCTGATCTGAGGATATATCAATACTTAATATTGAAAATTAAATATTTCGCTAAATTTTATTCACAATATACAAATGTATCCAAAGGCAAATTATTTACAGAATTTAAATAGAATAAATGAAAGATTCACTTTTGCAGATAATCCTCCAAGAAATACAGTAGAATATTGCATACTTTAAAATATATTTTATAAGTTTTCCAAATTATTAAAATTATTGTATATTTTGGCAATGATACCAATTAGAATAAGCATAAATGAGAGTACCTTTTCTTCATTACTATCAAAATTAAGACATCTTAAAATGATTGAATAGACTAGCTCTAATCATCGAGATGCAGTCCCCAACACACACATAACAAATTATTAAAAAATTGGCGCAATCGCAAAGAAAATTAAAATTTCAATTATGGATGATATTTTGATTAACTTTTTAAATCATTATATAATTTTATATTTTATTGTGATTTACATACCGGTTTATATAGCTATAATATTTTTCAGCCATATTATATTAGCTCTTAATATTTTGAATTTTCTAATATTGGTTCTAACAAATTTTATAAGATTAGTGAATAAATTTAAAATAAGTTCTAATAAATTTATTGCTCCAAAAAAAATAATTTCAATATCAAAAAATTACCACCTCCCCTGCAGAAAATTTCTGGCTACGCACCTGGTTTTTAAATTAGTATCAGGGGATTGTGTTAAAACATAATAGATGTATAAATATTGAGGGCGAAGGTCACGATATCTATTCTAGAGGGGTAAAGGTTGATGAAGGGGTTTCCTTCAACTGAATTTTTTTGTCATGTAGACGCTTCCTATTTAATATTTTGTCATTGTCCACATGTTCTTAATAATTTATTTATTAGTCAATCAAAAATGGCTATTTGCAAAGGTCATCGAAAATATCCTAATTTATTATTTCTTTCAAAGTAAATTGAGAAATTTTAAAAACAAATAATCTACATATTTGGAATTTCTATATAAAAATTTAAAAGATTTTGTACTATTTCTTGTCTTTAATGTTGTTAAATAAGCTCAAACCTAACAATTGTAAAAATTTCCATGCCCTGAGACAAGATTATATTTTTTTTTCAAGATTGAGCTATCCTTTATTTAGGTTCAAACCTCGAATGCTAAGATGACATAGCATAAAAATTCGGTTTAAACTTCATATAGTTGACTCAAAACCTAAAATGGAGCCATTTATCATCAATACTTGTTAATGGTGAACCTTCTATTCTTTAAATAAGGCAGAGATGGCAGTGACATAAAATTTCTATTTAAAAAATACAAAATTTTGCTTCTCTATTTTATAAGTCGTTATAAAAATAAATATGAAAAAGATTTTGACATAAAGATTTTATTTTTATAACAAT